ATACGACTGAGCACAATAAGGTCACTCCCAACAGGGCATCTACCACCAGCCCTGCTCAGCAGTGCTCTACTCAGCAGACTTGCTCATTGTCCTGGATCGCTATCAGACCTCAGACCCTTCGTTGCTTTAGGATCCTTTATCAGGGGGTCTTATGTGTAGCAGTGTTAGTGGCTCAGGCTGTGTCTGACTCTTTGCAACCCCATGACCTATAGCCTGCCAGGCTCCTCTGTCCACGGAATTCCCCAGGCAAGAATACTGGAGTGGGCTGCCATTCCCTTCTCCAGGGGATCTTCCCGACTCAGGGAACAAACCCAGGTCTCCTGCATTGCAGTTAGATTCTTTACCATCTGAGCCACCAGGGAATCCCCTAGGGGATCCTAATCGGGAATCAAAATAAATGCCCTTTTGCTTATTAAGAAAGACAATGGAAGAGTAACCACTACAAATAATTCATGAGGCATTTTCTCCGCTGATACAGGATCTCAAGTGATGCTGGTATGCGTGAATCCCCACCCCCATGCTATGGGGTCACAGGGACTCTAGGTGGCAGAGTGGAAACCAGAGCCCTGACTGCCCGCCTCTGCTGGACCACCTGCTTTAAGAAAGCAAAACACCTCTGACATCTTCACGACCCCCACTCAAGGCAGCCATTCTGAGAGTAGTTTCTTAGGAAGCTTGCACAGCTGAGCTAAGGCTTCTGCTGCCTCCCACATATGTGAGAATCTGGGGACAGAAAAAAAAAAGAGAGACTACTGTCTGGAACCCAGAGGTGAGTGGGTATTCCAGAAGTTCTCAACCTTCATACATTGAAAAGCCCATCCCACACTGGGGCTAGGAAGACACTTGAGCAAATAAATAACATCCTACTCCTCATCTTTCAAAAGGCTCTTTCGCAATTTCTTTTCACAGATAGCTTAATCATAAGAAACATGTCTGGGAGCCCTTCCTACCCAGATCTGCAGAGGAACAGTGCTAGTGTCCACCAGGAGCCAACCCAGGTAGGGGTGTCCCCGGCTGCAAGGCCACACCCGTCCGACCATTTCTTGTCAATCTGCTGCTAAATTAGCTGAGCATTCCCTGGGATCTACTGGTGAGCGTCCTGCTGAGCTCAGGGTTCTGGGTCATAGCATATTAAAGCAACACAAAGGATGCGGCAGTAATTCCCTAGAATCATCGATGTGCCTTAAGGACCATTTACCTGACCTGAAAGTTTGAAATGCACTTCCAGGTGCAGATAACTGAGAATAACAGGATTAGATGAGAATTTCTCTGATTTCCATTCAGTTGGGGGAAAATGCCAGGCATTTAGAATGCTGACCGTGCCCACGGTCCAACATACAGATATAGGTACCCTGACAATAAAAGGGATGAGCATGACGCCAGGAAGAGTCAACTAAGAGGTAAGCCCCAAAGACCACTCCTGGGGAGTCTTCTGTCTTCAGGGATTCAAGAGGTCCTTCCCAGTGGGGGGAAGAGATAGTCAGGGAGTTTGGCATGGACAGGTACACATGCTGTATTTAAAAGGGATAACCAACAAGGTCCTACTGAATAGCACAGGGAACTCTGCTCAATGTTATGTGGCAGCCTGGATGGGAGGGGAGTTTGGGGGAGAATGGATCCATGGATATGTATGAGTCCCCATGCTGTTCACCAGAAATTATCACAACATTCTTCACTGGCTATCCCCCGATACAAACTATAAAGTTAAAAAAAAAAAAGAAGTCCTCCCCATGGGAAGTTCTCTTTAATCTCACATGTGGCCAAGTCTTAATGTTACTTAAAGTCTCACCTCCTCTGAGAAGTCCTCCCTGACCACTTTGCCTTCTACCCACAAAGTGTGAACAAAAGCCAGGACTTGTGAAGCTTTAGGCTTCACAAGGGCTAATCAAGTTCTCCAAACAATTCCCAAGGACCCTGAAGAATCAATTACAACTTGGATTTTTTGGTATTTTTCCTGCTGCTTTTGGTAAATGCCAAGCATACAGTGGATCGTCTGATGATGAAGCAGCAGTGGCATAAATAGCGTGACTGTTTGGAAAACACCAAAGCATATGAACCTGGTCTACTGGCCTGGGCTCAGATGCGTGTAGGCAGACAACTCTTCTGTCCTCCAACCACCAAAGCTTCAAAGCTACTCTTTCCCCATTTCCTCCCCATCCCTGACTGGTAACTCCAACAGGCCCTACAGTCTTTCTAATCTTTTTCAGGTAATAAGAAGTCCAGTGCAGATAACGGAAGCTGACCTGCCCAGAAGATGGGGGGATGGGGGAAGGGAATTCCTGGTCTGTTTCCCCAGTTTGCTGCCCCCCTGTTTCCTTCCCACATCTCCAGGGTGCATCTGGTTTCTCCAGGGAGGGGAGGAGTTAAGATACACAAGATGCTGAAATTCCCTCTATACATCAAGAGCTTTACTCTAAGCCTCCAAGTCCAGAGGACAGGAGATACAACCTAAGAAAGATTCCTGCCTTTCATGTCAAAAAAAAAAAAGCTCTTCCGATACGGGGAGAGAGGAATCTGGAGCCCCCAGCCCCTTTACACCCAGCCTGGAGGAGAGGGGTTAGTGAGGGGGAAAAAAAAACCCCAGGGGATTGAGGGGAACAAGGAAGGCTGAGGGGAGTTTGTCCTGCTTACTGCTGGGAACACAGGACCACTCGGACTGGGGACCTGGGCTATTCCACACAAACCGGGCAGGTTCCCAGGTGCCCAGCAGGGACCTGTTGGAGACACAGGGTGTGGAGACCTCAGTGCCAGATGCAGGAGCCGGGTCCCCAACTGTGTCTCACTCCAGTGACAGCTGGCTGGACAATGCTCAATGGAAACAGAAAAAGGAGGCTCAGTGGTGGGAAACCCATCAGATGACAGTCGCCTGGAGACTACCTGCAGTGAGAAAGGGCCCCAGACAGCGACCTGAAGAAACGGAGACTGACTTTCTGGGGACTAAGCTGCTTTAAGCTAGATAGCGACTCAGATAGCATCCTTTGAATTAGGCTCAGGAAAACCACAATCAGGACCTAGGACTAGACATATCAAAAGGGAACCAAAGTCCGTTGTTCAGGGCAGCGAAATTAAGTTCACCTAAAAAACTAAGTTGACCCAAAAAACTTTGCACATGACAACTGGGAAGCTGGTGACCTTCAGCCCTCCACAATAAACTCGGGGCAAGAAACATCTCCACTCGGATCGAAAGGCTTCCTCGGGGTCTCCATGCAACACAAGCAGAGTTTATAAGCATGTCTGTGCACAGGCATGCAGCTAACCTCCCAAGGAAGAGCGGATGGCTGCAAGCTTGCCCAGGCAGACCCAGCCTACTGTGCCACCTCAGAAAACTTACCCTCCAGGAGGGCAATGCCACTTCACCCACAATTTCATTTAAGCCCCTGAGCTGGTGACCGGCACTCCCATTCTACTCATCCAGCGTTGGTGACCGGCTCAAGATGACCAAGCTGAACAACAATATGAATAGGAAATCCACCTTCCCTGAGCCCTAGGGGCCTGGTCCCACGCAGCGGCCATATGCTGTGTGTGAGCCACGCAGCAGCGCTGGAGGTGCCACTTTTTAATTTGTTCACTGAGGACAGCTGCTCAGAGAAGCTAAGAAACTTGCCCAGGAGGCAAGTCTGGACCAAGGGAGGCCCTCGCTCCAGGCACAAAATTTCAGGGGGTACCAAAACTCCTGGAGACAAATGGTACAATGGACTGTTTCAAAACATCACAATGAACACAGAAGCTACACCGCACAAAACACGTGACAATTTTAAATAAAGACAGGATCTGCAGTACTGATCTTTCTTCTACCTTAGGCTCCAGTATGGCTCAGCATAACACTGGGGCAGAGAGAAGAAACCAGCGCAGCTCCGTCCTCCACGGGCCCCACAGTCAGGGACCGCGATGTTACTGCACAGGCTCTAGACAGGCTTCTCCCCACACTCCTACCGCCTCACATGGCTCTAGGGAGTGATCACGGCGCTCCATCATCCCAGGTGTGAGCTCCAGGGAGACCAGGGTCTAAACAGATTCTATTCCACGGTCACGTGCCCGAATTATGTAAATGAGGGAAGCGCGCCGGCTGGAATAGGGAGTGGGGATATTTTAAGCTATCAGTTGAGGAAGGTGCGGGGTGGGCACTCAGGCTCACAGCTGCTCGTCCCCCACTTGATGGATTTATGGCTCAAAATTAAGTGACACCGTGCCAGCTGCCGCCTGTCCCGACACGAGTCTAACCCCAACGGTGGTATTCCTTCACACTCTGCATTTCAAAAGCCAAAGCCTGGTTGGCAACTACTCCACTGGAGTAACCGCTCAGGCTTTGATCACTGCTCACCTCCTATTAACGCCCCGTCTGAGAGGAGGCGTCCGTTCAACAAATACGTGTTGATTTAAAATGTGAGCATTTCTTAGATCAAACGCAGAACCCCTCACTGGCAACCAAAGCCTAAAACGTGTCTAACAAATAAAGCATTACCTGGAGCAGAAGAGTTAACGACCGTCCACTCCCCTCCCCTGCCGCGGCCTCTGGCGCCAGGAGGCACCGACGCTTCGTCCACCAACAACTTCCCCCCGCACGCCGACTCCCCTCGTCGTGCGTCTCCTGAGGCGTCACCTCACGATTCAAAGTTAAGTCCGGCAAAGTGAGCAAAGGGAAACTTCGGGCACTTCGGGGAGCGCGTCCGGCCGGCCTCGGCCGCGAGGAGGGCGCTCCGTCCGCGTGGCTGCGGGGGTCCCCGGCGCCGACACCCACGCCCCAGTCCCCCCTCCCCGGTACCTGCGCGTGAGCGCGGACGGCTCCGCGAAGCTTCGGAGCTCAGGGCCGGGCGTAGCCCCTCTTCCCCGCCTCCCCCGGGCGACCCCGACGGTCCCGTGGACGAGGTGCCCCCGCTCCGCGCCCCTGAGGCCCCGACTGCACCCTCGTCCTCGGCTGTCACCTGAGGGCCCCGCTGCCCGACGGCGCTGGGCCAGGGACGCTCATCATCCGCCTCGCCAAGCCGGCCACGGGCCGGAGGGAGGGCGCCGTGAGTGGGAAGGGTGTGTTTGAATAGAAGTAAAAGTTGTTTTCTATATAACCTTGTGTGTCCGGAGCGTCTCCAGGCTAACTAGGGAAGCTGCCGCCCTGTCGCGGGGTGAATCATTGCTGTGACACTGCAAATGGGGAAGAAGGGCTGCCAGCGGCCTCGCAGCCTCGCCTTACTTTCTTGTGGAGACCGACCGGTCCAGGTAAGGAGACTTTCTTGGGAAATGTGCTGGCCTCGGGTGGTCGCTCAGCGGTGACCTGAGAGCTGGCCCTGAAGCCTGGGCCTGACCGTCACACAGCCCCAGATGCCCCCGCCCCGGCCACGTGCCTACAGAGCGGGGAGCTTAACCTGCAGGGAGGGAAGACCCACGTGAATTGTGACCCGCAGGGAACGGAGGCCACGGCTGCTGACCCTTGAGAAGTTTCCATGCCAGCTAGAAGAGCTCATGCTAGCAGCGCGTCGATTGATGACCAACGTCTGAATCTTCAGCTATGTTGGGCACACTCGGGCTCTGCACACTCGGGCTCTGGTGGGTTTGGGGATTTTCCCTGCGGGCACTGAAGACCCAAGAAGCCCGCGTTTGTACCGCTATCTGCAAAAGAGCCAGAGGAGAAGATGGTGGAAGGGTCTCTCTCCACTCTTGGCTTTGACGGAGCAAAATCCCAAATAAAAGCATCAGAGGCAGGGTAAGGAGGTTAAAGGGCTTCCGAGGTGGCACAGTGGTAAAGAATCCACCTGCAATGCAGGAGACATGGGTTCGGTCCCTGGATCGGCTAGATCCCCTGGAGGAGGAAATGGTAACCCACTCCAGTATTCTTGCCTGGAAAATTTCATGGACAGAGGAGCCTGGCGGGCTACATACAACCCATGCGGTCATAAAGAGTTGGACATGCTGATCGCAACTAAGCACCGCAGGACACAGAAAGAAGTTAAAGACAGATCGCATTTACTTGAGCAAATAAAGAGAAGTTTAGTTATGAAAATAAAATTTGTATAATCCCTTTGGAATAAGCCATTCTCTTAAAAACCCCTTTTGCCGTTGTTAAGTGCTTTAAATTTCCTGCGTGAAAGGAATAAAAATATATTGTGAATCAGTCTATAGCCCCCCAATTTAGTAACCTGCATTCACAATGGATAGATGACTCATGAAGATAAAAGACAAGGACTAGGGCCGGGGCAGTGTGTGTGCTTTTTTCAGAATCCTCAAACTAAACTGAACAACTCCAAACGAACCTGCACCCTCTTCTCTTCTCTCCCACCTTGAGCCTCTGCTCCTAGCTGTTAAAAATCACATTTATTTTGTTGTAACTCCTAAATATTTACTGACTCCTTATATTGCCTTTCTAAGTAAGGATTTCATTTGTTTCTGTAGTATCATAAACTTCTGGCTTTATTTGTGTGTGCTGTGGGTGGCGTTTGAAGTTCCTAGAGGTTTTGATAGGACAAAACCAAAAGTTCTTGGTGATTAGTTAAGGTTGAGAAAGAACATGGTGTCAACACCCAAAATAGAAAGGGTAGGGGAACTTTGTGAACAGGTTAGAGAAATGGGAAAATATCCGGTCCTGGTAGAGCAAGCTTTAAAAGTGTTGAAAGGAAGAATGCCCTCCCACTTCCTCAGCCCCCAGGCCTGCTCCAGTGCCCTTCAGGGGAGCTCTTTTCCTCTATAATGCCTCTTGGGCCAAATCTTGAGGCCAGGTTGAGAAAAGGCTAAAATGTCAGTAACCATTTGCCAACGGTCTCAAGGAAACAGCCCCCATGTAGAGTTTCTGGAATCTTGCACAGACAACCATAAAGCAAAGAGCAGAGGGTTGGTTTTGGGTTTTGCTTCTTTGTTTATTCTGGAGCTCCAGAAAAATCTCGCTCATCTATCCCTGAACGCTTCCTCCTGGGGAAGGAGAACCTCGCTGATAAGGCAAAAGAAAGACCTAAAGCTGTGCTACCTCAGGACTTACCTGGTGGTCCAGTGGTGAAGACTTTGTCTTCCAGTGCAAGGGCATGTGGGTTCGATCCCTGGGGAGCTATGATCCCACATGCCTCACAGTCAAAAAACAAAAACATAAAACGAAAACAGTATGGTAACAAATTCAATTAAAAAAAAACTTCAAGAGTGGTCTGTATCAATCAGTGAATCTATTGCATCTCACTTGGGAACGCATTTCTATCAAACAAGGCCTACTATTATCCCGTTTTACAGATGAGGCACTGCTGTCATCTCCCTGTTGTGGAGAAATGAGGTGGGTACCCAAGGTCTGTCAGGAAGGAAGTGGCAGAGCCAGGATTTGAACCCACAGTCTGCAGTCTTGGCACTGAATAGGCTGCCTTTCTGCTGTGTGTGTTCAATCGTTCAGTTATGTACGACTGTGCAACCCTGTGGACTCTAGCCCACCAGGCCCCTCTGTCTGTGGGATTTTCCAGCCAAGAATACTTGAGCAGGTTGCCATTTCCTCCTCCAGGGGATCTTCCTAACCCAGGGATCAAATCAGTGTCTCCTGCATCTCCTGTGTCTCCTGCAGTGGCAGGAGGATTCTGTACCAGTGCGCCCCCCTGGGCAGCCCACCTTTCTACCAACGGCATCTAATGCTGCAAACTGAAAATGCTTTAAAAAGAAAGGACATTCACCCTTCCCCACTCTCAGGAAGAAGCATCTTTTGGGATCTCAGAAAGCAAGATTATTTAAGTCTAGTCTCCTCTCTACTGAATAATCACTTAGACCAGAGAGCTATCACTGGTGGGATGAAGAAGGGGGTTCACCAGAGGCACCAGGCTCAGTAGCCCAGGCTGGTACCAAGAGACTCTTCTGCGGGAAATGGCTTCACCCCAGGCTTCTGCTCTGGGGTCTTCATAAGACACTCATTCTGCCTGTTTCCCCTTGGGTTCCAAAAATACAGACTCTCCCCCCACCCCATCTGGCCAGATGAGGATTGGAGTTGAGGACCAGCCAGGAGCCAACTAGCCAAAAAAGATGTCAACTTTCTCATGACAGCAAGCCCGTTGCCTGGGTGAGCCTTGATGACAGAGGTGGAACTGAACTGTGTCACTGTCCTCCTTCCTTGCCTGTTATTCACGTGGCATCATCTGCCACCACACACACACCCAGTCAGGTACATTTTTTGTCCACACAATCAAGCAGCTTCATGCATTTGTGCATTTTCACTGTAACTAGTGATTAACTATTCTCAAGACCATTACAAGAGTCACAAGGCTCTGCCTTGAAATCACACCTTTATTTCAGTGGTTCTGAATGTTTTTTCATAAATGTATAAAACATTTTATTTTATAAATTAGATGTCACGTTAAGAGACCAAGTGGGCTTATGTTCAGAACAAGTTCAGGGAATTCTGAGTTTTTTCCCTGATGGAATGTTTTTTTCCTAATGTAGATACTATTTATCCTTTTGGCCAGTTCACTGATCTCTAGCAAGGTATTTCAGGTTTAGTGAGGCAGGGATATTTGATAATTCTGGCTTAGCACTAGCTGGGGCTGGGAGGTTACACTTCTGCTAGAAATTTATCATGGATGATAAGTTTCATAAAATCTTACGGTCTCAGGGTGGGCTAAATCTTGCCAGTGGTTTTTGCTCTTGTTGTTTGCAGGATTTGGTCTTGTTTTTATTTTCTGAGGTATAACTGACCTAAAGGACACACATCTCTGTGTTTAGCTTGAATTTTCAGTTACATATCATTTCTCTCATGCAACCATCACCCACATCAAGATCTAGAACATTCTTAGCACCCTGGGACGCTTCCTTGTACCCTTCTGCAGTCAGTGTACTCAGCTAACTACTGTTTCACGTTCTGTTACCATAGATTAGTGACCTATGGTGTTAAGGCTCATGAATAGGTATATGTAGACTGGCACGGTATGTCTTCTTTTGTATCTGACTTCTGTTATTCAACATGATGTCTGTGAGATTCATCCATGTTGTATCAGTTCGTTCCTTTTGCATTGCTGCATAGTACTCCATTGTATGGATATACCACAGCTTACCCATTCTACTCTTCTTAGACATTTGGATTGTTTTCAAGCTTGGCTTGTTACAATGAATCTGCTATTAACATTCTCATATATGTTTTGGTGGGCATAAACACTCAGTTTTGCTGGTTATTATCCAAGAGTGGAATCCTGGATCATAGGACATATGTAGGTTCAACTTTAATACATACTACCAAACATTTTCCTGGAATGGTAGGGCCAATTCACATGACCATGATACATACGCAAGTTTCAGTTTCTCCACATCCTCGCATATATGGTATTGTCAATCTCTTTAATTTTAGTCATTTCAGTGTGGTAGTGGTATCTCATTGTGGTTTTAATTTTCATTGCTCTAATAACTAATGATGAGCATCTTTTCATTGGCTATTTTGATATCCTATTTTTGAAGTGCTTATTCAAGTCTTTGGCTCCTCTATTGGACTATCTTTTACTTACATAGCAGTAGGAATTCTTTATATATTCTAGATATGATTCTTATATTGAAATTCAATTCTTATATTGAAAATGCTACTGGCGTTTTATTGTTTTTCCTTCCAATTTTTGTTTTATAAAAAGACACTAGGGTTAGCCTGCAGACTCAGATGTCTCCTGCCTAGTTGAGATTAAGCCAAATACACAATTCTGTGTCTTCATTTTTTCAGCTACATCATAACCCAAGTATCTTCCCATGTGATCACCAAGTGTTCATAAATGTACTTTTTAATAACCAACTGATATCCATTAGATAGATATGTCATTATTTATCTTACTATCTCTCTACTACATGTTTTCCAGTTTAAAAGTATGATACAAAATTATCTGACAAATGCCTTGTCCATAATTTGTCTGCATTTATATCTTTAGGAGAGATCCAGAGAGGAGGTCCTGAGTCCATGGCTGTGAATGGGTCGAAGGCACTAGTGAGTCACAGGGTGTGAAGGCTTCTTAGCCTGTAGGGTCAGAATGACACAATTGGACAGTACTTCCATTCATCCCTGGGCAGCAGCTTCTCCTGTTCTTCAGAGCAATAGCTCTTACTGCTCTCATGCACCACCCATCACGCTCTTCCAAACAAATGACTCTGCTTCTTTATTCCATAGAAAATTAGAGTTACCAGGCATAGAATTAAGTCTGCTAAGCAGCTGACCTTAACATAGGGAGATCTTCCTGGATGATCTGGGTGGGCCCACTATCATCACAAGGGTACTAAAAGGGAGGAGGGAGGCAGTGAAGACCAGAGACATGGAGCCTGAGATGGTCTCAGCTCAATAATGCTGACCTTGAAGGTGGAGGGAGGGGCCACAAGCCATGAAAAGTGGGCTCTAGAAGCTCAAGGAAAAGTCAAGGAAGTGGATTCTCCCCTCAGGAGAGAAGGGAGAAGAGAAGGAGAGAAGGAACAGAATCCTTCAGACACCTTTAATTTTTAGCTTAATAAGACAAACAGCAGATTTCAGACCTGTAAGGCCCTCCAGACCTGTAAAATCATTGAACTGTATTGTTTAAACCACTAAGTTTGTGGTAATCTGTTACTACAACAATAGGATACTAATAATTTATTTTAGAATCCCCTTGTCTTTTTGCTAGAAAGTCTGTTTCTCCATGCCTACTCACTGGCACAGTCTAGAGAAGAGGTCCCATTAGATATGCATTGACTGAATCCTAGTTGCATAAGCTTAATATGTTTAAAATTTTTAAATTGGGATCTAGTGTCCCGACCAGGGATTGAACCTGAGCACCTTGCATTGGGAGTGTGGAGTCTTAACACTGGATTACCAGGGAAGTTCCAAGCTTAATATTTTAAATGGAGGTTATCATTCAAACTAGGATTCAGACTCTTAACTAAGGCTCTTCCATGCAGTTTTTGGTGGGGGGTGGGGCAGGGGGCAAATGCGGAACACTGACAATCTGAAATTTTGAAGCCTTGGGCGGTCATTTGAATACCATCAGCAATTTATTGGAGAAGAAAACAGCAACCCACTCCAGTATTCTTGCTTGAGAAATCCCATGGACAGAGGAGCCTGGCGGGCTACAGTTCATGGGGTCACAGAGTCGGACAAGACTGAGCAACTGAGCATACACACACAGACAGCAATTTATAGAATTTTCAGTAATGTCCACAGCAGTAATACTTGATAACTCAAAAATGCTTTCCATTTTAATTCACCCCAATTTTACAAGATTTATTTTAAATTATTCCCTCTTTTTAAAAGTGTGTTCTCTTGTAACAGCTTCTAAAAATCATAATTTTGTTGTTTTTTTATCAGTTATGTTATTTTCCATGAAATTCTGCACTTTCATACTTAACCCTTACTCTAACCCCAAAAGAATTTCTTATCCAAAAATATCAGCTTTCTGGACTGGGGATGAATCTGGAAGATTATTTTGGAACCCCTCATGGTGCTGATGCTGTGTTTATATGGAATGGTATTTTCCACAAGAAAAATGAGGACTTTAATTACTCTTAGAAAGAAAAAGTCTAAACCACTACTTTTCTTTTGGTTTTATCCCAGAGAAATAAAATAAGCATGTATCTGATTTATGTGCTGGCCCACATAGCTCCTTTTGCAAATGTGGCTTTAAACCAGCTAATCTTTTAAAAGTCTTTACACTGACTAATTTAGAAGCAAGGAGAACAAATGTGGGAGTATAAATGCAAGGCACTGAATAAGAGCGATCGTTCCTGCCAATGAACACACTGCTGTGTTTCTGAGTACCCAATGCAGTTCACGACTTTCATTTAGATGAAGCTTCCCTGGGGCTGGTCTTGCCTCCCCAGCACGATGTGCTACGTGACTGGAATTACAGTGTGGAAGATGAGATCTGTCCAGGATCTTAGCGATCAGACTCTTCAACCTCATGTTGTAGGGGACAAGAAAAGCCCAAGGTTACATGCCAATGGCTGGACTTTGCTAAAGGCAGGTGTGTTAACAGCATCTGCTTACCTCTGCCTAATTCTGTAGCCTCCTGAATCTCTGGAAATCACCAGCAAAACTTGACAGAGAGCTTATCTTCTTGGTAGGACAAATGAGAGACACTTCAATTCATTTAATAGGAGCTTGCTGTTTGACAGCAGCATCTTATTCATTTGACAGATTATAAATATAAATAAAGTATAAATAAATATGTAGAGGAGGTTTTTTTACATGTTTTTAAAAATTTTTAACTGGAGGATAATTGCTTGAAATGTTGTGTTGGTTTCTGCCATAGAACAACTCCAATCAGCCTTAAGTACACTTATATCTCCTCCCTTCTGAATCTCCCTCCCACCCCTCTAGGCTGTTAGAGAGAACCGAGCTGAGCTCCCTGTGTTATACTAGCTGTTTTACATATGGTAGTATATCTATGTCAGTTCTGCTCTCCCAGTTTGTCCCACCCTTAAGTCTGTTCTGTGTCTGCATCTCTATTCCTGCCCTGCAAATAGGTTCATCAGTACCATTCTTCTAGATTGCACATATATGCATTAATATATGGTATTTGTTTTTCTCTTTCTGACCTACATCACTCTGTACAACAGGCTCTAGGTTCATCCACCATAGAGGTGTTTTTCTTTTTTTTTAATTACAGAAAGATTTTCTGTCACTGCTTGGGCAGCTCCTTATTTTTGCTTGAGTTAGAACAAAAACATGTTCATAAGGCAACCCTCTTCTGCTAACTGCCAGAGCAGCTCTTCCGTGGCTCTGTCAGTGAAATTATGACATTCAGGTGAAAGAATGAAGGGAGTGTTTCTATAGCAAATGGTAACACTAAAAATAGTGTCTGGAATGAAAATAGGATGAGGACTAATTTCTTCGTTGTTTCCATGGAAAAAGACGAAAGGGGGAATGATGTATGGGCTTGCAAGGCCTTAGTGGATCTGAAGACTTTCTTCAAAGAATTGGAGGGCCTCTTTCTGACATGATAACTCTCTAGGCAGCTGTTCATCATTTCAATGCCAGCTCTATGATCTCTTGCTATTCTGCATGTCTGTGAATCTGATTTATTTCATATGTATTTGGAAGTTTTATTGATTGTATTTTACTTTGTTGTTTTTTTTTTGTTTTTTTCGGCTGCGCCGTGCAGCATGAGGGATCTTAGTTCCCTGACCAGGGATTGAACCTGTGCCCCTTGCATTGGGAGCACAGAGTTTTAATCCTGGACCACCAGGAAAGTCCCTATTGACTGTACTTTTTTATCTAGTTGCCTATGGTTTGATCCATGTTGCTTCTATGCCGGCTTCAGTCATGTCTGAGTCTTTTTGAGGTCATGGACTATAGCCCATAAGGCTCCTCTGTCCATGGGATTCTCCAGGCAAAAATACTGGAGTGGGTTGCCATTTCCTATTCCAAGGGATCTTCCTGACCCAGGGATCGAAACTGCATCTCTTATGTCTCCTGCATTGGCAGGCGGGTTCTTCACCACTAGTGCCACCTGGGAAGCCCCATACAAAGTGGTACAAGGGGTGTGTTCTCCTGTGGCTTGTCTTCCCTTGTGACCTGAGAGCAGACTTCACTAACACATTTCTGCTCACTCACCACAAACAGACTATGACGGAGAGAAAACCCGCCAGGAAGGTCAGTCATGAGCCACTGTGAACCTCTCAGAAGATGCTCTGCTGTTCTGTGAGCTGAGCCGTGATGCACAAGGAACACATCTAGGAGTCCGCGCTCCAAAAACATTTCAAAGTTGTGAATTTTACATCGACCCAGGTGACTTCATAGCTCAGTTTTTTAAAGTTCATTCTGAATTTCTACAAAACTACAGAAGTTAAGACAGCATGGTGCTGGCAATAGACAGGCATATGTATTGAGGGAACAGAACTGATAGTGCAAAAATAAACACTCATGGTTAATTTATTTTTGACAACAATGCTGAGATGATTCAATGAGATAAGAATAGTCTTTTCAACACATGTTGCTGAACAACTGGATATTCAATATGCCAAAGAATGGATTTAGATTCTTTCCTCATATCATACACAAAAATTACCTCGCGTGAATCATAGATATAATGTAAGACTAAAACTGTAAAACACTTAGCAGAAAACACACAGTTAAATCTTGGTGACCTTGATTTATGAACTGATCTCTTATATATGACATCAGAAGTCACAAGTGATAAAAGGGAAGTTGGAATTCATCACAAAGTATAAACTTCCATGTTTCAAAGTACACCATGGAGAAAGTAAAAAGTGATAAATGTTACTTTTAAGTAAATTTGACTTAAATATGTAAAAAATATTTAAAACTACGTGTTACTCTTTGTACCATATTGTACAGAAACCACTGTAGCAGATATGTTTTAATAGAACTATATGAATGCATATAAAGCAGGCTTACTTAGTTCCTGGATACAAAACATTACATAAACATTGCATAAAAGGATCTTGAGGAAGTATTGGCCACTAAGCACCTGGACCACTGAATTTTGCTTCCAAAACTACCTCTTCATCTCAGAATTTCATAACATATCATAGACATCACCAGAACCTCTGTTCAGTAAACTGACATCAGAATCCCAATAAATTAATTTAGAAAAATAGAAAAGCAACCAAAATATTTGCAAATTATATATTTGATAAAAGATTTACATGAAGAATATTAAAAGAACTCATAACACACTATCTTAAAAAATAACACCATTAAAAGTGGGCACAAGATTTAAAGTCATTTCTTTATATGAATGGCTAATAAATATATTAAAAGATGTTCAACATGATTATTCATTCAGTTCTGTTCAGTCGCTCTGTTCTGTCCAACTCTTTGCGACCCCATGAACCGCAGCACACCAGGCCTCCCTGTCCATCACCAACTCCCGGAGTTCACCCAAGCCCATGTCCATCGAGTAGGTGATGCCATCCAATCATCTCATCCTCTGTTGTCCCCTTCTCCTGCCCTCAATCTTTCCCAGCATCAGGGTCTTTTTCAAACGAGTCAGCTCTCCACATCAGGTGGCCAAAGTATTAAAGTTTCAGCTTCAACATCAGTCCTTCCAATGAACATCCAGGACTGATTTCCTTTAGGATGGACTGGTTGGATCTCCTTGCAGTCCAAGGGACTCTGAAGAGTCTTCTCGTACACCACAGCTCAAAAGTATCAATTCTTCGGCACTCAGCTTTCTTTATAGTCCAACTCTCACATCCATACATGACTACTGGAAAAACCATAACCTTGACTAGACTGACCTTTGTTGGCAAAGTAATGTCTCTGCTTTTTAATATGCTGTCTAGGTTGGTCATAACTTTCCTTCCAAGGAGTAAGCGTCTTTTAATTTCATGGCTGCAGTCACCATCTGCAGTGATTTTGGAGCCC